TCTGAGTGCAAAAAGGCCTGGACATAAGGAATTTCTCCCGATTTCTCCATTCATCGGCAATAATTGCTTAAGTCCTTAAAAATTGTAAAGTCGAATGTTCCATCTGTGGCCCATTTGGACTCATTGTGGACAGACTAAATTGCAAAAAAGACAAGGCACTTAGGGCGGATATCTTGCCTGAGGACTATTTGCAGGTTGTTTATGAGGCAGCCTAGAGGACTGTTTTTTGGAATGGAGGACTGGGAGTTTCCCATAACGGAGGGCAGGCTTGGGAGAACAGGGAAAAAGGAGACCGTCCTAGACAACCAGAGGGAGACGATAAAAGGAGCAATCATCACTGCTGCCTTTTTTGTTCCCGGAACGGGATCAAATGGCTTACAGGCGTCCCCCTAAGACCAGATGATCAGTGAGCTGGCACACACTGGAGCCTTCTTAGACCAATGTTGAACTTTTGAACTAGAGAAACCAAGAGATGCTGTGCAGATTCTCCCCTGTTAACTGGGCACCGGGGAGACTTATGAGTAGGCGAATTCAGTGACTGATGTGCATGCACAGAAAGGCGACTGGAGGCTGAGGAGCTTCCTTTGTCTGGCCACTGTGGCCTGCTCTCTGGGCTGGAGGGGTGTGTCCACAGGGAACGCAGACATAAGCCCCTCCTGGGTTTTGGCACCAGATGTAAGGTTCTTGTATCAGTTCGAATCCTGAGAGCATATTAACAGACAACATGAGGTGATGTGGAACAACATGCTGTTTTAATGAGCACCTGGGTACAGGCAGGCTGAGGCCTAAAATGGCTCAGCACCAAATGAGGATGGGGCAGGGGTTTTATGGTCTCCTGGAAACAGGAAGTGTTCCAGTCTGACATGACTGCTACATAGTACCCACATGGACTCTTTCTTGATCTTCAGAGGTACATGTCTTCCAGCCAGGGTAGGTGTCTTCTGGCTGGCTCTCTTCCTGCTTCTGCTATCTTGTTGACTCATGCTGCTGGCTCAAGTAGCCTTGTGCCTTGGGACTGGACTTGAGAGGGAGGAGTTACTCATCCCTTCAAGCTTTCAGGCCTAGGGAGAATCTTTCAGAGACCAGTCTGGGCAACATGGCAAAACCCCATTTCTACTAAAAATACAAAAATTAGGTGGGTGTGGTGGCACATGCCAGTAATCCCAGCTTCTCAGGAGGCTGAGCCCCAATAATCACTTAAATTTGGGAGACAGAGGTTGCAGTGTCAAGATTGCACCACTACACTTCAGCCTTAATAGCAGAGGGGTACTCTGTCTCAAAAAAACAAAACAAAACAAAAGTAACTCTAGAAGTGATGACTTCATAGTTTAAATCCCAGGCAGATTTAGACACAAAGCTTAAGTTTCACTTTTTTTTTGTTTCCCTGAGCAGTGTGCTTATGTATCTAGCATAAGCTCTGGGCTTCTCTCTGGGGTTAGAGTCCAAAGATGTGTGGCCATGGTCCATGTTCAGTGAGCCCTGGCTCCAGCAAGAGGCAAACATATTCCTGCCCTTCCCTATGCCCCAGAAAATATGTGGTTTCAGATGCTGGAAGTGAGGCATCCAGTGAGGATAGAAAATATGTAGGATTCTATTATATAGAAAATACTCCCATTGGGATGTTGAAGGTGCCAGTCAATTTGAGGTTGTTACATTATTTCATAACCAGGATTGTGGTGAGAAAAAGTGGTGTGTCCTAAGATGACCCACCCCAATTCTACCTTGTTTTAGGGAGGCCACTTATTTCTGCATGCTCACAGCCCCTGGGAACCACCATATATTACCCTTGAAATACAGGTGTGCCCTTTGCTCAATTTCTTACATGTATTGTAGGTAAGTTGTTATATTAGCCTGTCTTCACACTGCCATAAACATGCTCTCTGAGACAGGGTAATTTATAAAGTAAGGAGGTTTAACTGTTTTGCATGGCTAGGGAGGCCTCAGGAAACTTACAATCACGGCTGAAGGTGACAGGGGAGCAGGCACCTCTTCACAAGGTGGAAGGAGACAGAGAAGGGCAAAGGGGAGGAGCCACACATTTATCAAATGACCAGATCACGTGAGAATTCTATTACAAGAACAGCATGGGGGAAACTGCCCCCATGATGCAATCAACTCCCACCAGTTCCCTCCCTTGACACATGGGGGTTACAATTTGAGATGAGATTTGGGTGGGGATACAGAGCCAAGTCATATTATTCAACCCCTGGCCTCTCCCAAATCTCATGCCCTTTTCACATTTCAATACCAATTATGCTTTCCCAACAGTCCCTGGAAGTCTTAAGTCATTCCAGCATTAACTCAGAAGTCCAAGTCCAAAGTCTCGTCTGAGATAAGGCAAGTCCCTTCTGCCTATGAGCCTGTAAAATAAAAAACAAGCCAGTTACGTCCAAGATACAATAGGGGTATAGGCATTGGATAAATGTTCCTGCTCCAAATGGGAGAAATTGACCAAAACAAAGGGGCCACAGGCCTTATGCATGACCAAAATCCAGAGGGACATTCATTAAATCATAGAGCTCTAAAATCTCTTTGTATTCCATGTCTCACATCTTGGGCACACTGATGCAAGGGGTGGGCTCCCACAGCCCTATGCAGCCCACCCCTATAGCAGAATTCTGCCTGGACGTCCAGGCATTTCCATACATCCTCTGAAATCTAGGCAGAGACTCTCAATGTTCAACTCTTGTCTTCTGCACATCCACAGGCCCAACACCACGTAGAATCCACAAAGGTTTGGGTCTGGCACCCTCTGAAGTAACAACTTGAGCTGTATGTTGGCACCTTTTAGCAATGCTTGGAGCTGGAGAGGCTGGGATACAGGGCACCAAGTTCCGAGGCTGCACAGAGCAGCAGGGCCTCAGGCCCAGTCCACAAAACCATTTTTTCCTCCTTGGCATCTAGGCCTGTGATGGGAGGGGCTGTGATGAGAAGAGTGAAGTGGAAGAGCCGCACACTTATTAACCTATGAATTCCATCATGAGAACAGCATGAGGGAAACTGCCCCCATGATCCAATCACCTACCACCAAGTCCCTCCCTTGATACATTGGAATTACAATTAGAGATGAGATTTGAGTGAAGACACAGAACCAAACCATATTGGTTATTGGCCTATAACCCTTCCCAAACCTGTTGTTTAACCTTGAGGCAGAAACATGTGCTCCGAAGTCTTTGCATCTTAGTAATGTTGCAATTATCCAATAACATTTCACAAATGTTGGATCAATGATGGGAGAATGGTTGGGACAGTGCCTTATTAGGATACTGCTCTGGGGAATCCACATTCTCACCCACACTAAACAATTAGAGATGCCTGGACAGAGGAGTATGACAGAAACCTGTGCCAATTTGGGGTTTGCTCCTCTTTAATAGGGAACAGTGCCAGCTGCACCTCTCAGGTCAAGCCTGAGGTGGGCAGAGAAGTAAACTTGGGTGTGCATCCCTTTCCCCTTTCTCACAATGACTCCAATGTCTCCTGCCCTGGGCATTCACTGGACCTTTGGAGAAGTGGCAAGGGGAAGGATGAGAATGGTCAGAGGAAGAGAGTGGAAACTTAGCTACTTAGCTACAAACAGAAGGATTACAGCCTTCCCCTAACTGCTGGATGGCACAGTGAATATCCATCTGACATCCATGGGCAGAAATGGAAGGGCATGACTGCTGATAATGTTATAGGCTTCTAAGTAGAATATTTCTGGACACCGGCCCTTTCCTCTGAATCTTGCACGATTTCCAGATACATTGAATTAAAGTTCTGGAATACTTTTTTATTAGAATACTGGTCACATTCTATCATCAAGAATTTTGGGTTAAAAAATTAAGCAAAGGTTTTGACAAGAATTCCCAAAGCATTATGGCTGTGGATTCCCAAGATGAACCTGTGGTTACATTATGGCTGGATTCAGATCAGAAATCTGGATCTTTAATTTTTTAATGAAACCAGGAAGTATAGATGGGTTGACCCTCCTGTGGCTTCCATAACAATTTATATTTTTCAACCACTTATCATATTGCATGATTGCTGAATTTTTCACCTCATAGCATGCATTAAAAATTAAAACATTTGCACCAATCATTAGGATAATTAGGTAATATTGCCCACAGTTAGAGGCAATTGGTCTGGAGCTGCAGCCATCCAGACCCAAATGGTTTCCCTGATGCTGAGCTTACTGAGTTGAACTTTTCCTGGTCTTTAAGAACCTCTACATTGCCTTCAAAGAAATGAAGACACTAGCCATTTGTGTCTTTTTGTAGACTCAGTGTCCCTCTTTTATATCTATGGTAGGAAACATGGACAGGTGAATGATGCTCTGCAAAGAGGTTAACAGTGTCATTGAGAAGAGACTTGATTGACTCGATGACACATGGATCCCCATCTAGGCAAGGTTCACTTACACTATGACTGTCCTCCTTCCCATCTGATCCACCTTTTTCCTAGTTGCTGTGTGTGTGCTACCTTGGGAAGACAACCATAACTGCAGTTCCTCTAGCATCATGGAGTCTCCCCATACCTTGATGTTTCAAGAGACAATGAAACCATATAATGCCTTCTGTTTCCTACATTGCATCTGAAAGGCCTAATTGTGACTCTCAGACGTTCTACCTTAATTGGAGAGCATGATAAACATGAATGTTCATAAAGTGCAATTAATTCCAACTACCTGATGATATTTAACTTGAGTATGAAGACCCCAGACTTTGATTATATATTAGTCAGGATAGGTCATAATATCAAATTTCATTTGTCATTAAGCTACATGTGCATCACAGTTTCACAAGATGATTCTCCTCATTACAGGCCCTCAGGAATTCAGGATGGTGGAGGCCCCATTTCCACACATGCTTTCATAATGCAGGGGTAGGGAAAACAGAGTGTGCTAAATCACATTCTGGTCCTTAAAGCTTCTGAACACATATAACACAGATTTCTTCCCACTTACATTTTATTGGATGAAAAAAAAGTCATAGGGTGATGACTATGTTCTTTAGAAGGTGAGCAAACACTGAATTTTTGTGAACAGTAATATAGTCATCCTTGCGCAGGGGCCATGCTAATCTTCTCTGTATCGTTCCAATTTTAGTATATGTGCTGCCGAAGCGAGCACGTGAACAGTAATATAGTATACCACTAGCCGCAGGACCTCATTAAAAGAAAGAAGGCATTTGTGAATTCATTCAACAGACATTTTTGAACACCTGTTATATATTGGAACTGTTTGAAGTTCTTACAATATATCAAAAAACAAAACATACAAAGATCCCTGCTCTCATGGAGTTTATATTTTAGTGACAGAAGAAAGACAATACAAAATGAACATAATGTGCAAGTGAATTATGTAGTTTTTATCTCCGTATATCTTATTGGTTGTGTTTCTCTGAGAACCCTAACTCAGGGTTTGTTTTGGTGGGAGATAAGTGCTATCAAAAACAAAACAAAGCAAATTGTAGAACAAAGGTGGGGGTTGGGGAATGGTGACCTCTGATCTGAAGTGTCTGAGGAAGAGGAGTGGCAATTTTAAATGGAATTGTTAATGAAGGATTCACTGAAAAATTCATGTTTGAGCAAAGGCTTGAAGAATTGGATAACTCAGGGAGTTATCCAATTGTATATCTGATCATTTGGAACCTGTTAGGGTTCTACTTTGAATGAGTTAGAAATCATTGATGTGTTTTAAACAGAGGAGTGATGTGACTAACATGACTTCTGTTTTCAAAACGAATTACTCTGTTGAGCATGAATTGTAGGGTGCAGAAGGAAAATGAGAAGACATTGGAAAGCAATTTCAGGAATCCAGATGAGATATGATGGTGACTCAGACCAGGTTGATAGCAGAAGAGGTAGTGGGAAATACAGTCTGGATATTTTCTGAAGGTAGAGCCAACAGGTTTTGAGGTGATTGAATATGGGATGTGGAAGTTTTTGTCCTAAGAAAGTGGATGGCTAGAGATGGAGCAGACTTCAGATAGAGTAGGGTGTGAATGTCCCTTCCAAAATTCATGTTGAAATTTAATTGCTATTGTAATGGTATGAAGAGGTGAGATATTTAAGAGGTGGATTTAATGCCTTGATAAGAAGGCTTTCAGAAACGGGCCATCTTTTGCCCTTTTGCTTCCTGCAATGGGATGGTGTGGCAAGAAAGCCCTCAACAGATGCCAACTCTTCAGTCTTGGCCTTCCCAGCCTGCAGAACTGTAAGTCAATAAATTTCTGTTCATTGTAAATTACCCAGTCTCAGGTATTCTGTAATAGCAGCAAAAGATAGCTCAGTTTTGTATATGCTAAGTTTAAGATGTCTACCAAACATCAATGTAGAGATACTAATTACGGGGAATATATAAATCTGGGATTCAGCAGAGAAATTGGAGTTGGATACATATGTTTAGGAATTGTCAAAGTGTAGATGGTATTTAAAGTGATGGGATTGGATCAGATAGATATGAGTGTAGATAATTAGGAGAATAATATCCAGGACTGAATCCCAGAGCACATCAAAATTAAAGGAAGTCATTTGGTTTTATAGGGCTGGTGTGGATCCAGTGCAGTGTTTATTTGGTTCTTGTATTTTGTTTGTTTTGTTTTTTTCTTTAGGTTAACCTAAACTCATATTGCGTGGGAAAATAAGTTATCAACTGAATGGATTTGGTGCATGAAAAACCACTACTCCCTGCCATCACTTGAAAATTACACTTATAAATCAGGGTTCTCAGAGAAATAGAACCAATAAGATATATGGAGAGATACATATTTGTGTGTTTATTATGGGAGCTGGTTCATGCAATTATAGAGGCCAAGAAGCCCTGTGATCTGCTATTTGCAAACTAAAGAACCAGGAAAGCTGGTGATGTAATTAATTTTGAGTCTAAAAGCCTGAAAATCAGGGGAGTCAATGGTATAAGTCTTGATCAGAGTCTGAAGGGGTGGGGTCAGATGGTGTAATCCCCAAGCTAAATCCAAAGGCCTCAGAACCAGGTGCTGATGTCTCAGGAGAAGATGAGTAAAACATGAATCATGAAACACAAATCATTTCCCACCAAAATGAATCAATGACCTTTCCAGGGTAGAAAATATTCAATGTGGCTGGCTTTCCACCATGTGGCTGGTTGGTCTCAAGGGTTAATACCATACCTGAGTGGGGATGAGTGTCCTCACTGGCCTCTGTTGCTAGAAGGTTGAATATTTGTCAGCACCAGTACCTGTGTCACTGTTGAGCAGTGGGAGTGAATATTGCTAAATCCATGCACAGCCTCCACTCCTACTACCAGGGCTGTGCCATTCATGAACTGTTGTTTGAACCCTGGCATCTAATGGCAGAGACTGGTCAATGTCAGCTGGCCAAATTATTCTTCTCTGTTTATTGATGATTTAGTAGGGATATTCTTTTGAAGTGCATGTTCTCTAGTGGTCACTAAGATGTAATGCAAGTATCTCCCTGTTCAGGGAGAGAGAGGGTGCAAACTAGCCCATCCTCCATTTTTGTTTTTTTGTTCTATCTGGGCTGTGAACAGATTGAATGATGCCCTTCCACATTGGTGAAGGTGGATTTTCTTTACACAGCATACTGATTCAAATGTTAATCTCTCCCTGAAACAGCCCTCACAGATACATTTTAAAATAGTGTCTCACCAGCTATCTTGGCATCTTTAATCCCAGTCAAATTGACACATAAAATTATCCATCACAGGCTCCAAGGCAATTCAAGATTTTTGAAATGAGATCTGTGACTAGGCTCTGAGGATAAAAACGTAAACAAAAGCGTTCTTATCTTAGTCCATCATATTTTATATATATATATATATATATATATATATATATATATATATTTGTAATAAGTGAACAGAGAGGAAACCTTCTCCACCTTCTCTGCTGCAAATTTTAGTTTGAGTGAGATCACTCAAATTTTGAGAAGAGTCAAAATCAGTGAGATCACTGTCTTCTCATAGATGAACTGAAAAACCTGGGTTTTATCCTTTATTCTTACCTCTTAACTCAATATTTCTCATGGCCAAGTTCTATTGAGTCCACCTTAAAAATGTTATTGAATCTACCCTTTTCTTCCATTTTTGATAGGGCAGTGTCATCTTTTTCAAAAAAAGCGGGGGGAGGGGTGGGGAAGAAAGACTGGATGAAGGGAATGAGGGAGAGAGGAAGGGAGGGAAGAAGTGCTTGAAATGCTTGAAACCCTTCAGTGACTTCCTACTAGCCTTGGGATAGTCTCTATACCTTTTGTTACCTGTTCTTGATGTCTCTCCAAACCTGTGTTATAGTTCTGCAACATTTCTTCCCTGGCTTTCATCCACCATGGCTAACACTTTTATCTAGTCTTTATCCTAAATACTTTCCAGGTCTCAGTTTAAATGTCAAGTCTGTGACCTCATTCTTATACTCCCACCAGACTGGAACAAATATCCCTGATATTTGTTTCTATGAACCCATTTACTTGTCTTATCATTACAAATATGATACTCTATTATATTTGGACTCAGACACCTTGTGTTGCTCATCCAGATATACTCAGAGCCTAGCATTCTGTGAAGCATTCAACCAAAAGTTATTAAAAATGTGAAGTAATAAATGATCAAAAGGACATTAACCTTTTGTTTCTATTGTATAGAGTTTTTGTTTTATAACAGGGAATAAAGCTTTATATAATGGATATATAAAGTGTTTGCTTTATAATGGGGTGAAGCTATGATTTGTACTGGAAAACACTAAAACCATCAGGGGAGCCATTGTAGAGAAAATGCCAAGTTGTTCAAAATGTTTAGACCTGGGAAGAATATGGTAATTCCCTGTATCCTATTTCCTTTAAAATGTGAGCTGAAGGGGGATGGTTTCTTTTTTTTTAATTATTATTATTATACTTTAAGTTCTAGGGTACATGTGCATAACGTGCAGGTTTGTTACATATGCATACTTGTGCCATGTTGCTGTGCTGCACCCATCAACTCGTCAGCACCCATCAACTCGTCATTTACATCAGGTATAACTCCCAATGCAAACCCTCCCCCCACCCCCTCCCCATAATAGGCCCCAGTGTGTGATGTTCCCCTTCCCGAGTCCAAGTGATCTCATTGTTCAGTTCCCACCTATGAGTGAGAACATGCAGTGTTTGGTTTTCTGTTCTTGTGATAGTTTGCTAAGAATGATGGTTTCCAGCTGCATCCATGTCCCTACAAAGGACCCAAACTCATCCTTTTTATGGCTGCATAGTATTCCATGGTGTATATGTGCCACATTTTCTTAATCCAGTCTGTCACTGATGGACATTTGGGTTGATTCCAAGTCTTTGCTATTGTGAATAGTGCTGCAATAAACATACGTATGCATGTGTCTTTATAGCAGCATGATTTATAATCCTTTGGGTATATACCCAGTAATGGGATGGCTGGGTCATATGGTATTTCTAGTTCTAGATCCTTGAGGAATCGCCATACTGTTTTCCATAATGGTTGAACTAGTTTACAATCCCAACAACAGTGTAAAAGTGTTCCTATTTCTCCGCATCCTCTCCAGCACCTGTTGTTTCCTGACTTTTTTATGATTGCCATTCTAACTGGTGTGAGATGGTATCTCATTGTGGTTTTGATTTGCATTTCTCTGATGGCCAGTGATGATGAGCATTTTTTCATGTGTCTGTTGGCTGTATGAATGTCTTCTTTTGAGAAATGTCTGTTCATATCCTTTGCCCACTTTTTGACGGGACTGTTTGTTTTTTTCTTGTAAATTTTCTTTCTGGATATTAGCCCTTTGTCAGATGAGTAGATTGCAAAAATTTTCTCCCATTCTGTAGGTTACCTGTTCACTCTGATGGTAGTTTCTTTTGCTGTGCAGAAGCTCTTTAGTTTAATGAGATCCCATTTGTCAATTTTGGCTTTTGCTGCCATTGCTTTTGGTGTTTTAGACATGAAGTCTTTGCCCATGCCTATGTCCTGAATGGTACTACCTAGGTTTTCCTCTAGGGTTTTTATGGTATTAGGTCTAACATTTAAGTCTCTAATCCATCTTGAATTAATTTTCGTATAAGGAGTAAGGAAAGGATCCAGTTTCAGCTTTCTACTTATGGCTAGCCAATTTTCCCAGCACCATTTATTAAATAGGGAATCCT